GTACTTGGTAGTACTCTTGTCAGCTGAGTTTTGTGGCCAGAAAGATAATCCCATCCCTAATGGTCTTATGATGATCTCTCAATCGATCGAATCAATCAACAACAAGATAGAAGTACAGGTACGTACCGGTACCAGGTAGAAGTAAGTACGAGTACGATTTATGTAMCGTCCGTAGGACGTACGGTACGGTACKTTACATTACGAGAACTGAACAGGGATTGATTCATTCGACAACACGTACTGTATTTCATTGTACGAAGTACCATGTACGGTAMGGTACGGTAAGGTAACAGGTATCATACTGTATTTCAGTCATTCTTCTTGGAGCAGATGGTGAAGGAGAACATTCAACTTCATGCGGTATGCACCAATCAGAATGCACAGTATYGCGGGAAGAAAACCAAATGGAATCTTGTTTAACGGTTCTTTACGGGGTCTTTGCGAACAAACAGAGATGTTTCTGGCGCCACAGATAGACACCATTTTTTKTTCGAGAAGAAGGGCGGGAATTGTCGTCCGGCACCAAAATTCGTTGCGTACCGTAAAACACACGGTGCATCAGTAGTACCCAAGGCATTCCGACCGGGAAAGCCAATCGTCGGGGGCAGTGTGCATGAACCAAGCTGCTTCCGATAGAGRAGAAGATATTGCCGTAAGTACTGGTACCCAAGTACACTACCGGTATGGAAACTGGTACAAGCCGAAACCGTAGCTTTGCCATTCGAAAAGTTTTGCAATCCCCTTCGTTTCCCTGCTTGCACCGTATTGAGACTTCTAACCGTAACAGGTACAAATACCAAATACCAATTACATATTGGACAAGAACTTCGTCTGCGGACATTCGTTTCCCGATTTCATCCCATCTCTTCCACGAAAAACACAGTTACATACCACCACTTCACTACGCCACTCATACCCTGATTGTTCTGAGGTAAGGGATTTTGTTGGAACGGGGGTACGGAACAATTCAGTGCAACCCAACCTTCCAGCAAAGCCACTTTTTCTCGTTGCCTGGAGCGACAACAAGACACTGCGTGCTGTATCTGGTTCCGGTGAAGCAGAGTAAGGTACAGTACAACACAACACAAACCAGGGCAACAAGCAGAAGTGCAGGTTGTGATTGTCTGTTGTCTCTAAGAACCGAGGAAGAACAGCTGATTCGAAGCAAAGAGGCGATACTTAGACGACACAATACCATACCATGATCCGATATTCCCCGGGTGCGTTCTTGCTACCACTCTCGTTGCCGTCGTTCTGGACGGGAGCAGGTCGAAAACCATTGCACGTTGTTCTTTGTGCAGTGCTCTTCATGCACAACGAGAAAATAGGAATAATACCCGGTCTGCCTCGGGTCCAAGCATTGGAATCCTTTTACGCAAACGTCACGTTAAAGGCCAACAACGGCGATCTATCGGCCGTCGTGTACCTCCCGAACGGTCTGAAACCCGGCGAGCGAACCTACTACCAATCTACTCGATTCGACTGGTCCTCCATGATCGGCAACATCAAACGAAGGACCACCAACCCGCTCACGGGGAAAAAAGAGACCCATGTTTTGTATGGGACACAGCAGTGGAGGCTTCCGCACGATCCGTACTGGACCGAGTCCGGGGTAGGCCTGGCGTCGGAATTCGGGGTCGGGACGGATGGATCCCTGTGCAATTTCATGTGCGGATGGGGCAAGGAAAGCGAGGTGACCAACGGGATTCTTGGTTACCAGCGGGCGAAGAGCGGAGAATCGTTTCTAAAGATCGGCGTCGGAGAGCTCGTCAAGGGATCTTGTAGCACCTGCGACAGCGCGGAAGACTACAAATTCAACAGCCCCTATCGGTTTGCGAGGCCCCCCGTGTGGACGCTGGAATACGAAGGCGACGGCAAAAACGGCGACCTCCGGTCCATCAAACTGAGCCACAAAGCCGTACTGGGCGACCGCAAGCCCGGATACAAGCTCGAAAAGCAAATCACCCTCCACGACGACCAGCTCTTGGTCAAGAGCACACTGACCAATCTCGGCGTCGAAGACTTTTCGACGGCGTGGTACTCCCACCACTTTTTTTCGTGCGATTCCCATCCGGTTCAGTACGGGCTTTCCGTGGACGTCGATCTGGCCRCTACCAGTGGCGAGTACAGCGAGCCTTCGACGTGGAGCTGGTCGACCCCCCTGGAAGATTACGCATCGGTCTTCGCCACTCCGGGTGATTCCGACGACGAGGACGAAGCCGACCAACTCGTGCGCATAGGTATGCAGCGGGGCGTCGAATCGAACGTCAAGATCAAAGCGGAGTTTGTCGACAACGACCAATCGAAGGGAGCTTTCACGCTGAGAGCCTGCAACACAAAGATCGAGGAGACCATTCCGGAGGTCGGCGACGGCTCTTCCGGGATTTCCATGTACGCTTACAACCTGTACATCGAATCCGGAACGTTTTCTCCTGAGCCGCAAATCCTGCTCCACCTGAGACCGGGAGAAAGCACGTCGTGGACCCAGCAGCTCGACTTTAGCGACGATTACCCGGAGGTTCCCCCGGCGCACTCCAGCAACGAGATGGCGGAGTCACTCCTCTTGCAAGATTCGGCGGCCAAGGCGGAGTCGACGGCGTTGGTCGGCCACCCCAAGTCCAAACACTCCCACAAAACGAGCGGCAGCGGTGGCGGAAGCAGCAGCAGTAGCAGCACTCGCCAAACGAATCGATGGCGCGAGAGCACCGTGGCGATAACGGCGTACGCCTTGGTCATTGCCGTGACACTGGTAGCCCACCACCGATCGAGACGGACCAAGGCTCGGCATTCGCGGAGCGGCAGGCTTCGGTATCTTCCGATACCCGATGTGGATCCGATACTCTGTGACATCGGAAAACGGGACGCGAGCAGGGACAAACGCAACAACAGCGATGCTATCATTTGAGTTCGGTTCGACCGCGAGGAACTCTTTTCCATAATTTTGTTCGGCGTGTAACATTAAAAAAAATTAATACAGTAATGATTATGGTTGCAATTTCCTTTTTGCGTTTTGCGCCTTGTGTGATCTTCGAACGAAACACTACAGTACGGTACGTAAGAAGATGCTTGGATTGGTGAAAGAATTTGCCAATTGCCCATGGCACGCATTGCGGACGCCGCTTTTTTCGATACGGCTGGGATGAGGAGGTGTGTGAGAAAAACCAAAATTGTTTTCATAGTTTTTTTTGCTCAGGCATTGTCATGCCAATGCATCCTGTACCGAGACGATTCGTTCGGCGTTGTCCTTTCGAACATCGCTGTAGCACGTTGCCAGCATTCCGCCCCGGCACCCGTCTCTGGGTTCGATCGTCCAGACGTCTACCGTCRCTGCCGCGGATGCCGGTGGTGCTTTTCCCCCCCTCTTGGAATGCGAGCCGGGATCCAAGAGACGCAGGACGCGCCCCGCCATTGCGGCGGCCGTGCGGGCTATGGCACCGCCCCGGCTTTCGCTCGAAAGCGCCTCCCTGTCCCCGCCGCTTTGGCGTTTGGGGCTGCTCCCGCCGTTGTCGTTGTCGTTGTCCTGGCCGTAGCCCGGGGCGTCCACCAGGGCCGCCAGCTCCTTGGCCACGGCGTCCCGCGACTTCCCTGCCGCGCAGCACCGGCATTCCTCGAAGCCACCCCCGGGATCGGTCCGAAAGAGCCGCGCGGTGTGCGATCCTCCGCTGCCGCCGTGCCGGTCCACGCCCAGCAGGATCGCCGTGCATCCCATCGGGCGGCAGCCGCCCGTCCGCGTCAGCCGGTGGTGGAATTCGGCCGTGATGCGGGCGGCCTGCCCGACGGTGGGGGCTTCTCCGTACCGGAGCCGGTGGTTCTGGCAGGAGCGCCTCGCCATCCCGGCCAGCATGCGGGCGTCTCCGGAGAGGCCCGCGGTCAGCATCCAGATGTGGTCGTCGATGCGGTGCATCTTGCCAAAGGAMGAGTGCTCGATGCAGACCACGATGCAGGAGGAGGACGGCGCCGATTGCTGTGTTTTCTTTGGTGGAGACGATGCGCTTCCATCGGGTTCGCCGTTGTCGTCGTCGTCTCCGTCGTCTCCGTTGCCATCGCCGGTCTGGTCCGTGGTAACAGTTGCCGCTGCGGGGATCCCCACCCGCATGGCACCCACCGTCGATCCACGGAGAGATGCCTCCAGGCCGTACTCAACCTGTGCCAATCGGCCGTCTTCGGTAAAGGTCGTRATTTCTCGATCGTAGGCAACCCCGTCCCTTCGAAAGGTCACGCGGCGCCGAGCCTGGGCTGCGTCGATCGGACGACAAAACGGGGAAGAAAACAGAACCACCGACACGCACGCCAACGCCCAGGCACGCATTCCTGGAAACGCTGGGAGTGGGCGTGGGCRTGGGCATGGGCATGGTGGTGTCGACCGGTTTGGATCTGACATCGTGCTGGATCTGTGGGAGGAGAGCGTCCTTGGTCAATGGCTACAACATACCGGTAGGCAAACAAACACAAAGGTCCACGAAAGAAATCATGAACGATCTCCGGGATGTGCACGTCGCACGTCGCAAACGGTCGGARGATTGTGCTAGTACGAGTACGAGCACGTAAACTAGCAGGTACTACCGGTAGGACAAAAAACCCTCATCACCAGCACCACCTGTCTTGAAAATTGCAACTAGTAGTAGAACTGCTGAAGTAACCAACAAAGAAGCTTTACCTACAATACAATGCTTAGAAACAATGCTTAGATTGGCTGACAAAGCTTGTTATGTGATAGCAATAGTAGTAGTAGTAGTAGTAGTACGTCACACAAACCTGTACTATCGTTTTTTTTTTTTCCTGGGTGCATGAAATAAAATTCGCGCGCGTATTTTGTGATGCTCGCACGCAATTATCTGGCTGTTTTCCTTGGAACATGTTCTCGTACCACTCATTTCTCATGTGGAGTTCGATGCCCTTTCTCATGCTCAAAATTAATTCTTTTTCCTGGAAAATATTATTGTATTGGGAGACGAATTGCTCACCCATTTCAAAAGTATCTCAACCATTCAAAAAATACCATGTGTCGTCACAAAAATATTTTGCCACTTCATCAATTCCTCAGGTCGGTTTTCAATTCCTCTTTCCTTATGCCAACTCTTCGGAGCTCAGCGACAATTTCTCTATCGCTGTCGACAAATTTATTTTACAATGAAGCTATTTTACTATGTAACAGCAAAGGATTAATTTCTAAATGTTTCGTGCCGCTATTGTTGTTATTTTCGTATCATCCGCGTTTCGTCATGATTACTAAGACCGGGGGTCTCATACAGCCCGTTGCAACGGATACGTACGTACCAATGAATCGTTACGATACGAAGCTCCGAAGAAAGGAATGAAGGATCATACCATTCCTACGTACCTATCGTAATGTACGCTTCCTATGTATGTATCATAGGATGTATCRTAAGAGGTCCGAGAATCGTAAGAGGTCTAAGATACTCCTCAAGAATACCTCACGAAGAATAGAGATGTCACGAGTCCGGAATAGAGAAGCGTCATGTAGAATCCCTACCAGGTCTACATGAGCTTC